CGGGTAGCGGACTCCTTGGGCTGTGAGCTGCAGGGGCTGACTCTTTCCGGTTCAGAGCAGTGAGTTACACGTCGGCTCTGCCGCCCTCCCACAAGGCTACACACCAGAACGTGTGAGCAGGGCGTGCATGGAGGGCGATCATGAAAACATCATGTGCATGTGTTCCAAACATTTTTGTGTCAAAATTGTTTACTTCTATTTTCTGTGACTTTCTGGAAGTATCCTCACAAGACAGGACAGAAGTTATCAGCAAACAGCAACAGGCTTCTGCAACATGCACACTTAGACGGCTGGGACCCAGGGAGTGAGACGAGCGTAGGGAAGCAGTGCGTGCACTGCGAGGTTACTCCCAGGCACTCACTACTGTAACGACTCTCGGAGCAGGTGTGTGCGCTTGCCAGCTGTAAGGTTCTCACGTGTCCTGGGGGTCAGGAGGACAGGTCTCTTAGAACGGTTTGAGCACTTTCTCCCCAGCCCAGAGGAGGGTTGAGCCACGGAACAACCTATGCTGTCTGCTTGCATGCCTGGTGGCTACCACTGCCTCATAGTGCTGCACAAAGGATCAGCAAGTGCACGGGGCACCTGGGACAGGGGCATATGAACCAGCCAGCGGCAAGTACAGTTGTCTGGTCCAGCAAGAAGGCTGAGGGAGGCGTGCTTGTTCTTACCAAGCACCCTGACGGGGCAGCCCGCACAGGTCAGTCTTACATGGATGGGTCAGAACCAACTTGGAGAAGGACTGCATGCCCACAAGGGGCCCTGCAGGCACCCCCTGCTGGGGCTGGGAGCCCCTCCCACTGGGCACAGTGCCCAGCTACTCCAGGGCTGCTGGTGCCCCTGGAGGCTGGAACTGACTGATGGATGACTCAAAGGATGGACCGGCGGGCCAGGCAGGTAGTTAGGGAGCGAGCGCGTTGACTTTACGAGCAGGAGGACATATGGAGAGGGTCGTCGTGTGCTCCACACAGTTAGATTATCTTTAATTAATTAATTTTTTATGGCAAAGGCAGATTTACAGAGAGAAGCAGAGAGAGAGAGAGATCTTCCATCTGCTGGTTCACTTCTCCAATGGGCCACAACAATTGGAGCTGATCTGATCTGATCTGAAGCCAGGAACTTTTCCAGGTGTCCAACATGGGTACAGGGTCTCAAGGACCTGAACCATCCTCTGCTGTTTTTACAGGTCATAAGCAGGGAACTGGATCAGAGGTAGAGCAGACATGACACAAACCAGTGTTTGTATGGGATGTTGGTGGTATGGCCAAAGATGAGCCTGCAGTGCCACGGTGCTGGCCTCTCCATGCAGCTTTGCAGGAGGCAGAACAGAGCTGTGGACCTGCCCTTCCACCCTGCACTCTGTGACACAGTCCTCTGACCCTTTGGGCAGGTGACAAGCCAATGGCCTTGAGTAGAATGACGGTCTCTCCCCGCTTCAGTCCCCTCCGGGGCCCTGTGCTCCTGTGCTGCCCACACACCACTGCAGGCCCTTCAGCACCTGCTGGGGCCCTTCGCCATTGAGGCTCTGGGTCCTGGCACATGCTGGGTAACCCCTCAGGATGGGAAGGCGTAGGTGTGGCAGGGGTTCCCCACGCTGGGGACTCTTCTCGCCTCCTTCAAGTTCACGGGCTGCCATTCATGTGCTCTGACCCAGGATCAGGTCTTGGTCCTCCCACTTAGAGCTACATGTCTGCTTCTGGAAAGCAGCTCAAAGGCCCAGCTCCATCTGGGCACCAGCTGTGCCCACTGGGACTGAGCGCAGTGTAGCGAGCCTGTTCTTGACACAGGAAGGAGGTCCACAGATCTTCCGATTCCACTGGGCAGAAGTTCCCAAAGCCTGCCTTCAAGAGGGACCACAGAGCCACTGCCCATCAGCACCACAGACGCAGCTCCGGGCCCAGCGAGGCCTGCACAGGAGCTGGGGACTTCTGCAGGGACTGGATGTGACGGGACAAGAGGAGCTCCTGGGAGGTTCATGAGCGGACGCCCCTGGTGGCCACCATTCCACTGTAGACACACTTGGGCTGGACTCGTGACCCAACGGGCAGACTCAAGAATGCCAGGACAGAATGAAGATGGGAGACTTGGGGCCACTCCCTGGAGAGGTACTTGGTGCCAGGCAAGGGGGCCTAGAGGGGGTGACTAACAGCCACGGCTGGCCCCCTGTGAGGGCAGTGGGGGGTGCCGGCAGGACCAGGCCAGTCTGGGTGCCCTGTGGCGGGCTTGGTACCCTACAGGACAACTCTGGAGGGGACACAGGTGGTGATGAACTGTTCCCTCCTGGGCTGCACTGGGGGCACAGGGCATGATGGGAAAACCCATTTCTTACCCACCCCAGCAGGGCTCTCAGCGTGTGCCCTTGTGCAATGAAGGGCTAGAGGGGGCTCAAAGAGTCAGACCAGGGCTACATGGCCCGGGCTCCAAGGGTACTGTCACACGCTGGCACCTGGAGGTTCATCTTGGGCTTCTATAGGTTGTTCTCCTAGAACTTTCTGCAGAAAGAATGCTTTTGACCAATCCTGAGTGCTGCTACTGCAGACTCCTGGCCATCAACCTTGAAGGTAGAGTTAGGGTGCAGGTTAGATAAAGCAACTAGTCCTCTTCACGAGGCACATGAGCGGGAGGGCAAGGATCGACACTTGAGCCGAGTGCAACATTCTAACGGACACACACAACACAACACGAACCAATCACAGCGGCGACTGCCTTCTGTCTGCTTGAGCGTAGGCTGTGGCTCGCAGTGTCACTGCACAGCAAAGGGTGCTGAGGAAGCACGCACTTCAGCCAGCTCCAGGGCTGCTGTTGTGGTGCGGTCGGTTAAGCCGCAGCCTATGACGCCCGAGCCCCACAACCCTCCTTCCTGGTGTGCTTGTTGGAGCCCTGGTGGCTCCAGCTCTGATCCAGCACCCTGTGAAGGTGCCTGGGAAAGCAGAGGACAGCTCGAGTGCTTGGAACCCTGCCATCCGCTTGGGCGATGTGGGTGACGCTCCATGCCCTCGGCTGTGGCCTGGCCAAGCTCGGGCTGCTGTGGCCAGTTGGGGAGTAGAAAGAAATGTGTGTGGAAGAGCTCTCACTGTCTCTCCGCCTTTCAAATCAATCTTAAAAAAAAAAAAAGGCATGCCAACCCTAAAGAAGTATGTTTTGGGGAAAAACAAATTCATTATAAACACAAAGCTGACGAGAGTGACCCAGAGGAAAGAGCTTCTATGATGTCACGGTGGCACAGGACTGCTGCCTCCTATGACAGGAGCCTGGAAAAGAGCGGCGGGCCCGAGCCGCAAGACGCAAGAACACGTAGAGCAACAGCCAACTGTGGAAACAAGAGCCTGGCAAGGAGTGAACACGCCCTCCGTCCAGCAGCGTGGGTCTCCTGCTGCTTCCCTAACCACCCACAAGCTGCCTTCGGAGCCCCCGTCTGTCCTCCTGCTGGAGCTGACCCGGCTACTGTGCTGGAGGCCCAGGCACCTTCATGGCCCAGCACACATGGCGGGGGCCCATCCTGGTGTGGCTGCTGCAGCTCTGGGAGTAGCTGGTCACTCCAGGCGCTCTGCTCCTCTGTCCTAGACCATCCAGGGCTGTAGGAGGCACCTTTCTCTCCTGGCCTTGGCAGGCGGGGCCAGGGTCAGGGCAGGGATCAGAGAACGGGTGGTTCCTGGCAGCTCGTCCCTCCACATTGCACACTGAGCTGCGCATGAACCTACAGCAAAGCTGAGGGTCTTCAGGACCCCACCCTGATGAAGAGGCTGCAACTCTTCCATGTTCCAATGCATTCAATCTCAGTGTGCTTGCTGACGACACCCCGGGCCAGCCTGGTTGGCGGTTCTGTGCCCTCCTCCTGAATCCAGGATGCGAACCCCAAACTGGCAAGAGCTACAAGGTCCCTGAGCCCCCGCTGGAAAAGCCAAAGCCCTCTGGTGGCTGGGACTCTGCAGCAACATCCCTGGCCCATGCCTGTCAGGAAGGAGGCAGCGGCAGGTGGACATGCCAGGGGGAGAGTGGGCGGGACCATGTGCTGGGCTGGGGGCCTGTAGCTGCGTGGCTCCCCTGCCTATCCCGCTGGCAGACACAGATGGGGAGGGTTTTGGCCTGCCCAGGCCCACCTTCCTTCTAGGGGGCCCCTTTCTGGAAACACTGGGGCTTGCACTGGCAGAAACCCTTCTGTGACTGGTGCCCGGTCTCCTGAGAGCACCTGCCTGCTGCACAGTGACCTCAGGGGCTTCCACTGGCTCCCCGAGACCCAGCTCGTCCCCATGTTGGCTAAGACCCAGAGCAGCAAACAGAGCGCCATTCAGCTCCTTGGGGTTAACCCCGCCCTGAAGTTCAAGCCTGCATTATGTTCACCATATTTAGCTCCTCAGGGACCCGTGTGTCTGTCTGCGTACATACGTCTGCACTTGGACACATATTCACCTGCACTGAAACGACTATCAACTACGGATCATGACAATACGCTCCTGGCATGAGTGCCCACGTCTGGGCACCGATGCCAGGTTACCACGAACTGGAAGTGCCTTTCACAGGCTCTCAGGCAGCAGTCCTGGAGTCCCCTCTGGGGCAGGCGGCAAGTTTGAGAAGTCCGACCTCCTAACGGATCTAGGACGCTGCAACACTCCCAGATTCCCTGCCACTGACCGAGCTCAGGGAAGTGGCTAACTGGCCCCCGCCAGTCAGCGTCCCTCTCTGAGTGGCTGGCACACGGTCAGGTTAACAAGAAGTTGACAGAAAAGCTTGTCACCATTCAGATGTGTTCCTGTTTAAGCCTTTCAGCCAGTCAGCCTGGAGTCGACCTGCTTGTGTCATCTTATTGCCTTTGCCAAGAACTATGTGATCGGGTGCCAAGACCAACACAATCGCTGGGTGTGGGCGGGGCTTGAAAGTGCTCCTGCCCCTGTCCAGCCATATGCCACCCCAAGTGGCCACTTGGCCCATCACAGGGCCTGGTCCATGAGTGCTAACAAGCCAGGCTCGCTGGCAGACGCTTGGTGAGCGGCGGGGGTACCGACCTTGCTGGAAGATGGGGTGATGCAGAGCAGGCAGAGGGAGCTTTGGGATGGCCGCGGGCTCGTGGAAGTAGGCGTGGAGCCAGGCCACGCACTGCTGCAGGGGCTCTGGCATTCTCTGTGGGCCTCCGGGAGCCTCAGGAGGAGCGGAAACCTCTGCGGGGCTGCAAGAAGAGACGACAGCTCAGTAAGCCTCTGGAACCTTGCTTGCCCCCTTGCTTGGAGGCAAGGCCCACCTGGAAGTGCCCCTGGGCTTGCACCAGCTGCCCAACAGGTGTCCTGAGAGCAAAAAGGCAAAGGGGGTGGGGCGGAAGACACCAGGAAGTCACCGCCCCTGTGGGCCAGGGCCCCGCAGGCTGGCAATGACAGGAGCAAAAGTGACACAGCCTCACCCACGGCACCCCACAGCAGAGGGCAGGACCATGGACTGCCCACGCAGTGTGCAGCGCTCCGGGCACCACGCGGCCTCTGAGCCCTGCTCCAGCTCTTCTCCGTGTCCGTGTCCCCCCATGAGTCTGGCTCCGCAGCACGGGCCCTGTGACCCCTGTGCCTGGCCACTGCCCACCTCTGGAGATCACCGCTGTGTGCACTGCAAGGTCACCTCCTTCCTGGCTGCTCCCACCGACGGTGCTGCTGCTCTGTCTGCAGGGTTTGCCCCACTCCCCCACCGGCCTCGGAGCTCTCTGTACGGGGCCTCTCTGGGTGTAGCTGCCCAGTGCTTCCGCCATGCAGGGTCTCTGGCTGGCATGGAGAAGGGCACACAGCCCCAGGGCTCCTCCTGCAGCGTAGTACAGGCCCACATGGCCATGGCTTGGCCCACGGGCCCCAGGGAGAAGCTAGGGGATGTGCTGGCCTCTCCTCCCCCATGCCACCTTCATGGGGTGCTAAGGCAGCACCCTGTGGCTGGGGGAGTGGGAGGGGTCCCCAGAGGAGTGGGCCCTGAGGCCAGTGCAGGGGACAGCAGAGGCGCGCATGTGCCACCCTGGCACTGTGCAAGGAACACTGGGCGTGGGACTGTCACACCAGGCCGCCTGGGCTAGGCGCCCTGGGCTTCTGCCCTGCTGAGCTGGAGGGCTGGGGACCTGGGGACAAGGCCAGCTGGGCTGTGGGCCCACAGGTGACGCCGGGCCTCAGGTGGTTCCTGGAGATGCCCAGGTGGGGCAGGCCCTCTGAGGCCCCGCCCAGGTAGGCGGCCCTGCCCCACGCTCTGCAGGGAATCAACGTGAGCTGTTTGAGCACTTCCCGCTCTTAACAGGATATCTGAAGAATTTTTATAGTAGTAAAATTCATCTTAAATTGATGTTTTATGCTTCTGCTAAAGATCTCAGGCCCTGATTTACTCCGTGGCTGCTCCTCTCGCACTCTTCCTCTCTTGGCATTAGATAACGATTCACGGGTGAGACGTAATTAAACATCTTTGATTCCGAAGTGAGGATTTACGATACGACATTTAAAACGAATGGCATTAAACACACACATAAAACCAGATTTTTAAAGCCACGACACAAATTTCCATTTCTATGAGAAAATGAAATTGATTCCCGGTCCTGCCCTCTCCTCCAGCCCCGCGGCTGGCTCGTCCCCAGGAGGGATGTGGCGTGACGGGACCCTGCAGGCGCCCTGACTGTGGGGGAGTGCCTCCAGACCCCCACGGTGAACCCTGGGACGCCTCTGATCACCAGCCTCCCGGCCTGTGCTCCCTTCAAGGCCACGGCCATGGCTTCCCCAGAGCCCAGCCCCCGCCCTCCAACGCCACGGGCTCCAGGAAAGCACTACTGATTGGGGTCCTGAAACGGCGCAGGCCCCCTGGTGCTTCTCCCAATCCGAGGAGCTCCAGGGGGTCCTTGCCCCCTCCCCGGGTGGGCACGCAAACACAACTCCAGGGACATCTCTGCTTAGACTCATTCTGCCAACCTCCTTTCCTCCAAGCTCAGCCAGGGCTGGGCAAGGGGCTAAGTCAGCAAGGGCGTGCTTCCCGCACGAGGCCTGTACTTCCACTGGGGATGGCACCACCATTTGGGGAACTGGGATGTGACACTGGAGGGTCATTCAAGGAGACCCCACCCCAAGGGAGCTGATGCAGGCTGTATCCTCAGTGAGGCCGTGCGGGCTCCAGGGATGTGCCAGAGGGCTTTTAGGGGAGCAGCAGCTGAGTGGCTGAACCAGCACCTGGGTCGTCCTGAGGTAAGACACGTCCCCTGGGCCGAGCCGGCTGCCTCCCCTTCCTGGATGCGCAGTGTGGGGTACAGGGAGCCCCCCGCAGGTCCAGGAGAGCGTGTCCGACAACCCCGGCTCCCACAGGCATGTGTTCCCTGCACGATGCTGGGACTGTGGCAGAGGTGACCTTCCGCACTCCACGCAGGGACTCCGCTGAGCATCGCCGGGAAAGGCACGATTACGTCCAATTTACAAGATCTCTGGCAGAGCTCCTTGTGTTTGATGGATTTGTCCTACACTTAATTACACCTGCTTGCTAAAGCCCAGGCATCTTCCTTCCCGGGCCAGGACTGAAGACCACACTGCACGATGCCGCCTGCTATCGCTAAAGCTCATGTCGTTCAGCGGGGAGGTTGAACAAAGCCTTGCAACTCTGTTCCAACTGGATTGCAGTCTTGTCCCACGGCGCTCTCAGCTCCAGAGCGGGAGCGTCCACGCAGGCAGGTCCCTCTCCACGGGGTCTGAGACCACCTGCGCAGGCAGGGAGGATGAAGTGACCTGTTGGTCAAGGGGAAGTCTCAGGTTTGATGCTTCCCTCACACCCGCAGGGCCTTCCCTACGCGATGGGCAATATTCTCACGGCCGCCAAGGAACCCGGATCCCTGCTGCCTGCCAGCAGCTGTGCAGCCGCCATCACAGCAGAGGTTTGTGAAGTAGGGAAAAGAGAGGAGTTCAAGGGCTGATGGCCGGAGGAAGAAAACAAGCTGCAACAGCACCGTGTGCAGTCCAGGGCACCCAGCGGGTCTAGCTGCAGGCACGGCCTGGCCTGCTGGCGTGCAGTCCAGGGGGGTCCTCCTACAGGCACGGCCTGGCCTGCTGGTGTGCAGTCCAAGGGGGTCCTCCTACAGGCACGGCCTGGCCTGCTGGCGTGCAGTCCAAGGGGGTCCTCCTGCAGGCATGGCCTGGCCTGCTGGTCTGGTGCCATTCACAGCACTGAGGGGGGACCCTGTGCCCTGCCCATGATTCAGGGTGTTCACACTTAATCCTACACAGCCCTATGAAGAGCAGGCACTCAGCTGTGCGCAAAGGGCAAAATGGGACACACGCGTACCGGACAGAAACATGCCGGGGCTCGTAAAACATCTGTGGGAAACGTGCTGAAGCTGCTCCCTGTGGGCCGCTGGCCCTCCGGGCTGGGAGCTCAGCATTGCCTGCTGCTCCTCCCCTGGTTGGTTCCCTGCTGCCGCTGGCCTTCCTGCCCTGCCTAGGTAGATACCAATTCCCACGGAGAAGCCACCCACAACCCGTGTTCGGAGACCAGCGAGTCAAGGAGGAAGTGGCGACCTCAGATTCAGTTCACTTCCAACTTTCTGGGTGGTCACAGTTATGTGGCTATAACCGGGTCCCATTTTTAATGGGCATTCTAAGCCTTCAAAATTGGGGCTCAAATTGATGTCAGAACGCAAACAAGACCACAGAGGAATTTATTGTGGCTTAAAAACCTCCAACCAAAAGCAACACAGAAAACCCAAAGCAGATTTTCAATTCCTCCCCAAAAGAAATGTACATATACATATATATATACATATATATGTGTGTACATATTTAAAAATAATTGATTCTTAAAAATGCTTCAGCAGCAATAAAACATTTTTAAAAAGACAATTAAATAGTACACTTGGCAGACAAGAATGCCTTCAGAAAGCCTATTTGCTTTCCACCTAAATGTTCAAATCATTAAAAAGAAAATTGTATTTTATCAACACTTTAACATATCATTAAAAGTCTCCACTGTTTGACAGATGAAGATAAAAATACCCCAAAACTATAGATGAGCGATCAGGTCCCCAATGATTCCAAAACAATTACAGGATGCAAAGCAATCTAGTTAAATTTTATTCAAAAGCTTACTACACTGTGTTTTCTTTTATTTTTCTATCAAGAAACCCACGGGGCTTAAGCACAATTCATTATGTATGAGACCCCACTTGCGGCGCTTGACTGTTGATTAATACCAAAGTTTGCTGTATGTACACTTGCAACACTGGATGCATACAATATGCTAACTTATTCTTTCACTGAAACTAATTATTTACAAAAATGACTACTTGAGACTACAATTTATTAAATGCATGCATCCAGTCTCAATTTGGCCCCCAAAGACAGGTCTGGGATGAAGATCTTTTACTTGATGTGACAACTTCTGGAAACGCGGTTATTAATATTGCAAATGCGGCAAATAAAGAGTTCAAATAGCCTTATGTCTGTGTTGCCTGAGCCTCCCGCCGCCGAGCAGCACAAAGAGCCTGTTAACATCTCACGCTCCAGAGGCACCTCCTCTGCCCAGCTTTGTTTCGCTTCCTGTGAAGAAAATGCTCACACAGATACATCTGTAAAAATGTGAAACTTTTAAAGAGTCATTCTGTCAAGTCTGTAGGACTTGCATGAAGTGTGCGTGTCCCCAAAGGTGCTCAGGTAGCTACGCACGACCCCCGTTTCACAGGCCCCGGAAGAAGCAGTGCCGGTGTATGTGAAAGACGTCAGGGCTTCACTGCTGGACTTGGATTGCAAACAGGACAACTGCTAGTCACCCACGTGAGCTTTCCAAGCTCGCCCTACACGCACGAGACCCTCAGCGGAGCACCTGCTAGCAGCATCCTCCATAGGTGGTCACTCCCCGCTCGGCCAAACTGCTCACTCTTCCAGTTCCACCCTTCCATAGCAACCCATAGCTCAGACCCAGCCTGCCTCGTCAGGGGTGGGTGTCACAGCAGGCCACAGGCAGAGAGGGGGGCAGGGGGTACTCAAGCGCCTTCCTCCACTGGCATAGTCAAGGAAGATCAAGGTATGTGTCCGGAGCACGCGAGCAGGCCCACTGCTGGGTGTCACTGCAGGCTGCTCAGCTTCCTGGGAGAAGAGTGGTGTCCTGTGGGTTGGGGGATGGCAGTTCTTAAAGGGCTGTTTCTACCAACAAGTGAGTGTCAACAGGGCACACAGGCGCAGGAGA